ATTTGTATGTTAATAAATAAAGTTGCCTGGGGGTCAGAGCTAATAGCAAGCCATCGCAGAAGCTGGGCAGTGGTGGCGCACGCCTTTAATCCCAGCTCTTGGGAGGCAGAGCTAGGTGGATCTCTGTGTGTTCAAGGATACAGCCAGCATGGAGACACATGCCTTTAATCTCAATACCAACCATAGAAGACCTGGAGGTCTGTGCAGACAGGCAGTGATGAGGTGGTCATGTGGTTGGATTTACAACCAATGAGAAGGCAGAACAGAAAGACTTTATAAAGACAAACACACAGGAAGTAGTTCTCTTGGCTGAAGAGGATAGCTGCAGAGTGAAGGGTAAGGCTCTTAGCTCTGACCTCTTGGGCTTTCATCTCTGCATTGGTTCTGTGTTTCTTATTGAATAAGATGGTTACTTCTACATATCTATGTTTCATTTTTACTCCCTTGAATTCTACATTTTTAATATCAATATTAAAATTTATTTGAATTTTTTAATTTATTTTCCCTTGGGCAGAATTTGTTTATTGTACTTACAGTAATTCCTTTGCTCAGTGAAGCTAATTGTGTTTTCACATACGGTTTTCATTTTCTTTTATGTTTCTAAATTTCAGATTTCCAAACCAAGATGGTTTTCATGCTCTTCTATGCTTATTTATGTATAATTAATTTCCACAAAAGTGCTTTCCTGCTCGTGATTTTCAAGAGTCCCTAAAAGGAACATGAGTTTCTATGTTTCTACATTTTCCCACAGCAATATGGAAATAGCCGACAAAGAGACCATGTGTCTCAAGTGCCACCATTCATAATTTCAAAGATATGTTTATTATCTCAGAGTAACAGGCACCAGTAAAAATACAAAACTTAAGAAAAAAATTGTACAGAGTCCTGTAATTGCAAGTAGCATAAATAATAAATTGTGGCACTATCTACTGGGAAGAAAAACAACTCTTTGCTGCTATCTTCTGTCAAGCATTGGTTATGCCAAAGATGAGGCATTAGGTAGATAGCAGTAGCCTCTGGAACTTCTGGGAAAAAAACAGATTCACAAAACACCAGTTAAATATAATCTTTATTCAGATTTGATACATATAAGATTCCAACTACAGATAGTAAGACTATTGACAGTATCATACAAATAAATACACACAAATCAATCTTTAAATATATATAATACACAGTACAATGAAGGTTTTCAAAAGACAGTCTTTAATAAAATATATTCATATTTTTTCCTAGATAAATTAGTTACTTTATAGTGAATAGTCCATTCTGAGTAGTATATATAGTTTGTTATCCTGGTTTGTACCAGTTGAAAGCTTTAAATGAATCATACAATAGAAAATCTAGTACCAAAAGAATGTTTCTTTTGTTGGTAGAAACTCTAGATCATTTCAGTGTAAAAAGTTCTGTTGGTACACAGTAATCTAAGACCACGGCTTTCATTCCTTGTGTGAGCAGGACTTCAGCATTGAAATTAGTAATGCTGGAAAAAAAATAGGTGCCTCATAAGAAAAAGAATAACTCTCTGTTTCTCAAAAGAAGGGAGAAGACAAGGACTTTCATAGCAGCAAGGACGACAGCAGGCATATTTGTAGCCATCATAGCCATTGGCCAGACTGCCATAGTCACATCCAAGGCCTCCATAGCCTAGCCTAGGCCTCCATAGTCATAGTCCAGGCCTCCATGTCTGTAATCATTACTGCAGAAGCTCATGGTGTCAGGATTAGAGTGCTCAGTTGTGTACCACTGTCAGTTTCTAGAATTCTAAGTTCATATGGCTTTATAAACCAAGTGAGTGGCATGTGGGGGAAACCACAGAAACTGTTGGATTCACATTAGCAAATAACTAGCATTGAAATCATTTAAATTGCTCACTACTAATGTACCCAAGACAATATTTTCATGGGTCAAGGAATATAATATAATATGTCCTTTGCAGAAGTTCTTCTCCTGTTTTGGTGACTTGTTTGCTCCTGATGCCAAAGCTAATCCATTGCTAGTTAACATAAATAATATTACTGATATGTGTTTTACCACCAAATAATTTTCTTCTTTAAAAATATCTTCCATTCAGTTACTATTTATTTAATCCCAGAAGGAAACTGATCACTTTAAAGAAGCAGAGGAAGATAGAAAAAATCTTTTGTAGCAAAATATAGGGTGTTAAGAGGTGCCATTCCTGATTTTTTAAGGTAACCATTAATCTATGAATATATCAATTGGTCATTTGCAGATGCATATTTACAGATAAGAATTGGAAATACTGTGTCAAATTAATACAAGAAAATTATATATCTAACAAATGGAAGGTTATGTCTTGAATCTAACACTTACCTAGTTGTTCACTGTGGTGGTTTGAATGCAATTAGCTCCCATAAGCTCATAAGGACTGGCACTATTAGGAGGTGTGGCTTTGTTCGGGGTAGGTATGGCCTTTTTGGAAGAAGTATGTCACTGTGAGGGTGGGCTCTGAGGTCAAATGTATGCTTAAGCCATACCCAGAGTTTCAGACCACTTCCTGTGGCCTGAGAGTCAAGATATATGACTCTCAAGCCCTTCTCCAGCACCATGTTGTGTCATGAAAATAATTGACTAAACCTCTGAAAATGTAAGCAACCACAATTAAATTTTTTTTCTTTATAAAAGTTGCCATAGTTACAGTGTTTCTTCACAGCAATAGAAAAACCAACTAAGACATTCACCATCACAACTGAGGACAAAATCCAAAGAAAAAAGGAGAATAAAAAGTGGTACTGAACAATTGAATGGGATAAGTAGGTCAAAAAGAAATATTGAAATTAAGTCAAATGTATGAAGCTGGGAGAAGAGACATGGTAGGTAGTCTTTCAGCAATAGAAAAAGAAAGTGGTAATTCTGAATGCCAGAAGTTAAAAAAAAATAGAAAAGCTTATACTTAATGTTTATTAAGAACTCTTGGTGATCCCTGTATTAGTAATTTCAGGAGAATAGATAGTGATCAAAATAAAAAACATAATATATAGGAATAGACAGAGGTTAAAACATATGAAATTGTCTAAAAAATACTAGATAAAAGGAAACTGGAAGGTTTGCGGTAGGTTTCCAAAGCCCAACAGAAGCCAATTTGTTCTTTTTTTAAAGTTATTATCAATAACTTTACTTAAGAACACAATAGAGAGTGGAAAACTTAGTAGAAAAAAAGTGAGGAGTATCCCTTTCAGTGAATGTTCTAGCTGTTTGGATAGGAAGAGAAACTCAATTTTTAAAAAAGAAAGAGATTAGTTTTAGAAAGTTTCTGTGGAGATAAGATACAGTAAAACTTCCTATAAGAAACAGTTCCAAGAACTGTTGACTTTCATTTCAACATTACAATTACAATATGCTGTTCTATTACAATAAAATTTTACAACTGCTTCAGTCAAATATTTTAAAAATTAAGTATACTTTTTTCTTCCTTTCTTTTTTCTTTCTATTTTCCTGAAGAATTTCGGCCATGTTGCATTTCCAGGCTTAAAAAATCTTGGACTAGAAAAAGACTAACCACCATGTCATTTAAATAATTTTGTCCTGCAAATGTATTCTAAGCTATTGATCGGTTGACTACATTGTGACAAGTGAGGTCACTATGTGGAATCTGAATAATACATGATGATAATGTCATCTAATTCTAAATTCTCAAACCTCATGATCATTCTGATAAAATGTCATAATAATTTTTATAAAATCAATTTAACAACACCCATTAATGGAAAAAACATTCAGAAACACAGGTTCATTTGGGAATTGTGGCACATGCCCTACAGTCCTGGCCCTCAGGAGGTGATGGTGGTCTGATTACATGTCTGAGTCCAGCATGTACTACATAATGATACCATCATCCTACATACACACACACACACACACACACACAGAGAGAGAGAGAGAGAGAGAGAGAGAGAGAGAGAGAGAGAGAGAAATGAATAAATAAATGTGTGTGTTTGATTTGAACATCAATATGAAAATACTTTATAGGAGACTGTTCTACTCTTTTCTATACTAACCAAGGTAGATGATCTGGAGAAGAGGACAGTGTCACTTTTGACCTAGTCCCTTATATAATGAAAGTACACAATTCCACTGAAATATAAAACTAACCTTGCTTTTTTGAGCCTTAAATAGGAGGATTTATTATCACACAAAACTGAATGGGAGCAGGACCAATTACAAAAATGTGAAAGTTCAGCATTTGTGGTCAAATACAGATAAAGCAAGAATGCTTTAAATAATTTGATCAATATAAACACATAATGGTAACCATAAACCATTGTATAGTTCCTTACATGAAATATCATTCTAATATTCATTAAAGTACTGACTAATCACCATGAACTTATTTGTAAAAATAAGTAGAGAAGTAAGACTCAATGTAATAAATAAAAATTCTTGGTTTTATAGAAATTAAACACAAATGGTGCTAGTCTCAGCTGTATAACACCAAAACTTAATATGTTTAGCTCAGATTTGATTTTCTGAAATACTTATTACTTGGATCATTATTATCATCAAGGGGATGAAAATATGCTTGATTTCAGAAAAGGAAAGGAATTGAACCCTAGAGCAGAAAATGAATTTTTATTGTGAGTGAAAAAAAATGATTCAAAGAGAGTGTGATTTTTGTGAAATGGAGATACAAAACAAATAATATTTTGACTAAGAAAGTGTTGCCTCTGCATATAACACAGTCATCAAAGGTTAAAGTGGAAGCATCTTTTGTTTCAGAATTGTCTAGTGATTAGTATGTGTGATGTGTGCTACTACATTGAAACCCTAAAATAGATAAGGAATGTTCACATGAGATATCAAGCCAAGCGAGCTTCCTTAATGACTGAAGCATTTTCATGGGTGAAGAACAACAAAATAATTAGATTAGTCATAAAATTACTCAATAGCATGAGTGCATGGTGGGCTCCACCCACACTGAGAGCATATAAAAAGGCCCTCTTCAGGGACAAGTATTCAGACACAAGTCTCCTCTACTCCTCTAACAAGAACAACCTCAACAACCAGCACCATGTGTGGCTACTACGGAAACTACTATGGCGGCAGAGGCTATGGCTGCTGTGGCTATGGAGGCCTGGGCTATGGCTATGGAGGTCTGGGCTGTGGCTATGGCTCCTGCTATGGCTGTGGCTACCGTGGACTGGGCTGCGGCTATGGCTGTGGCTATAGCTACGGTTCACGCTCTCTCTGTGGCTGTGGCTATGGATATGGCTCTGGCTATGGATCTGGATTTGGCTACTACTACTGAGGACACCACAGAAGAATCTGAACCTTCTCTAACTGTGAGGTCAAGACTCTGCCTTTCTGAACCTCATATATTCTAAGCTTCCCACTTAGATGGTGAGGATCTACATCATGGGTTTCTGATATGGTTTTACTGAAGTCTTGCCTTCTGGTTCCTTCTGGATCTCATACATCCAATTCATCCTTTTGAGAATTTGTCGTAAAAAGAGAGAGAATGTGAAATGCATGCTCTGGGTGCCTAAGTGGTCATTCATTGGGATGCTTTGTCACAGATTCTACTGGTTTTTGACCAGGAGAGTTTTTTTCTTTTCCAAATAAACTTATTTAACTGAATCTATAAATGTGGTTATCTTTTTATTTAAAAATCCATTACTTAGGCCAGGTGGTTGTGGTGCATGCCTTTAATCCCAGCACTCAGGAAGCAGAGGCAGGCAGATTTCTGTGAGTTCGAGGCCAGCCTGGTCTAGAAAGTGAGTACCAGGAAAGGCGCAAAGCTACACCAAAGAAACCCTGTCTTGAAAAACAAAACAAACAAACAAACAAAAACCCAGTACTTATTGTTTTTTTTAAATGAATTAATTTATTTGTAGAAAATTTTATGCTGTTTTACACAAATGAATTTGAAAGTGATAATTATGGAAAGAAACATTTGCCTCCTGGAATAAACAAAAACAAAACAACATTGTTTTTGGTATAAACAGAATTATTTAGAAAACATGACAAGCACATTGTGCTCATTTATCAAAACAACATTAGTAGCTTCATCATGGGGCCTATTCCCATCCAGGGTTTTTGGATCATTTTTACAGTAGTGGATATGAATTCTTTCCTGAGGAACGGGCATCAAATCCATTCAGAAAGTGTTTGGTTAGCTGTTAATGGCCCTGCCACCATTGTACCAGAGGGATTGCCTTATGTGGCTGGCCAGTATTGTTGCACTGGTCTTTATCTTTAAAAGAGTGTTGCTGAGAAAGGAAACTTTCTAATTACGTTGGCAGTTTTTGTCAAAGAGTCTTCTTTTATGGATGTATACATTGGAATAATCCAATCTCTATTGGTGTGTGTGTGTGTGTGTGTGTGTGTGTGTGTGTGTGTGTGTGTGTGTGTGTTTCAGTTATCTCTGTTGCATAGAGGTTTCCTGATGAGGAGTGAAGACTACACTTACCTATGCAAATATGGACAAATATTTACAGACTGCTACTAGGAATTATGGTGGTTCAGTGAATTCATACTTGCACCTAAAGCTCAGGAAATATTGCAGAAGAGGGGGCAGAAAGTTTGTAAGAGCCAGAGGATCAAGAGGTTGCTCTACTATTGTGTCTCCTTGTATTGTCAGAAACTACACCCATAAAAGTCTCACTAATATGACTGCCTAAACATGAGTTGAACAAGGATGACACCAACAGATATGCCAAACTGGAAGGAGACAAGTCTACAGGGTCTCAACCTACACAAAGAACTAAAGGCAACTGAGGAAAGCTGGTATCAGGAGAAGTGATATTCCCCAAAGAAGAGCACATCAAGTGGTTGTTCAGTGCCAAAGGCCAACCCTGAAAACATACATACAAGTAACAGTATACAGACAGAACAGGAGAATGCTTTAATAATTACTGAAAAAAGATGCCATAAATTTGAGGAAGAACAGAGATTATATGGGAAGGTTTGGATAGAAGCAAAGTGAAAAGTGCTATAATTGCATTATAATCTCAAAATTTAAAAAAAAAATGAATCTAATCTCTGAAGTGATCAGTAGTGACTGCAGAGACTTGTAACTGTTTCAAATGCTAAAAAACAAATTACAATTGAAAGTCCATCCATAAAGATGACATCTATATCACCACTGCCAAAGCTCAAGGATTATCTAGGGCAGAAGGAATGAAAGAAGGGAGGTGTGGAACATTGACTTCTGGTATGACATGACCCTTGTGATTAACTTCACAGGATCTACACAACATTGGACAGGTCAACAATCATCACTGAAGGGGCAGTGGTGTATTGGGGCCAACCCTTGCCTAATGGAATATCAAATAAGACCTATGTTGTAGAAATGTATTTAGTGCACATTTCCATGTGTACAGCTATAGGAACAGCCCTTGGTAAACTCAGCAAACCACTGGACATAAGCAAATGTATGTTGGAAAAGAACTTGTATAAAGAAAGTTGGGTGGGGAGCTCACTGGGAAGAAAAGGAAGAAAGAGAAGGTTAAGGTGAGAGCAATCAGAATGCATTTTAAACAGGAATAAAATAGTCTGAACGAAATAAATGTCATGAAAAGTTTTCAGTTTCCAAAATTGAAAAAAGACAGCAAGCTATATGATTGCAGTCAAAGTAAAGAATGTCTGGCTCTATCACAACTACGTTTCTGATAAACAAAAAGCACAACATACCAAAAGCAGTTCAAGATAAACAATACACTGCTTTTAAAGAAAATGAATTACTGTTGATATCATCACATGAGGAACTACAGTCTAAAGGAGAAACAAGTTCACTGCCTGCACATATCAAGCAACAACCTTCCTTATGGAAAATAAAGTGAAATAAAACATTTATGTAAAAAAAGAATAACTTACATTGAGTTAATTTGGGTTAACATGTTAGAGGTCTTAGCCCATAGTCCAATGGCTTCAATATGCTGAGCCTGTACGAAGTTGGCACATACAGCGTGAGCCAACAAAATAGAACTGTTCATGTGATAGCCAGAACATGAAAGAGAGCCAATAAGGAAGAGGCTGGGATCCGCAACTGAGAGTGTGTCATGAAGATTGACGGACCTCCCTCAGATCATAAAGTGTCTAAATTTCCACTGCCTCTTGTGGTGGTATTGTGTTCCCCAAAATATTGGGCACCCTAATAAACTTATCTGGGGTCAGAGACAGAACAGCCACTAGATACAAAGTCTAGAAAATGGTGGCACTCACACATTTAATCCTAGCTCTCCAGAGGTAGAAATCCCTCTGGATCTCTGTGAGTTCAAGGCCACATTGGAAACAGCCACGCATGGTGACACATGCCTTTAATCCCAGAAAGCGAGCTTTAATCCTAGGCAGTGTTGGTAGAAAGCAGAAAGGTATATGAGGCGTGAGGACCAGAAACTAGAAGCATTTGACTGGTTAAGCTTTCAGGCTTCTAGCAGCACAGTTGAGCTGAAAGCTATTCAGATATGAGGATACAGAGGCTTCCAGTTTGAGGAAACAAGACCAGCTGAGAAGATGGCCAGGTGAGGTTAGTTGTGGCTTGTTCTGTCTCTCTGACCATCCAGAATTTCACCCCAATAACAGGCCCCAGGTTTTATTTTATTAATAAGACTCTCTAAGATTCCTGCTACAACCTCTCAGCACTGCCATCTGGGGGTCTAACTTTTATCCCATGGAACTCTGGAGAACACATAAGGTCCACTCACTCTATTTTGTCCCTGGCCCTCAAAGGTGCATGTGAATCTCACAGAGTATAAATTTTTAGTCTACTCCACCCCAATAATAATGTTTTAACTATTCCAGCATTTTTAAATATCCAAAGTCTTCTCCAGGACCTATGGTTCGTTTAGTTAGAAACTTTGATTAAAATTACAAGTATATAGACTCAAGATACTGTGGGAAGACAGGCCCAAGATATACATTCTTATTCCAATGGATAGCATAAGGTGAAATAAAGGAAAGATAAGCCAAAACTATCATATCTTAAACATTCACATATGGTTGCTGTATGCACTGTATGAGAATGTGGACTCCCCAGGGTATGGAAAGCTCCAAAGCACACATGACCAGTTTCTAGGACTGGTTCTCTTACTACCTGCAGCTTCCCTTGCCAAGTGCTACATATGTTTGGGATCTCCATCCTCCTGGGGTCTCAACTGCAGCCTCAGTTTCATTCCCAAAGCTCCCTATACATTGCCTCAGGGAGGACTGTTTGCAGGGAGTCAGCTCACTTGGACTCACCAACTGTCCTCTGCAGTATTAGTTGGAGACCTCATGAACCCAAATTTTCCTTAGTTGAATTTGAAGAAATAAGTACCCATATGTCAGATGTGCTTGTATTTCTCTGGATTGCTTTCTACAATGAATTAACTTTGGGAATATGCTTTTCTTGTGGAACCTTTGGATTTGAGGTAGCTGTTCATGTAGATTCTTAATGTGCATTCAAGTCACCTCTTCTATAGTCCTAGTAAAGCCCATGGCTTAGAGGCAATGTTATCTATGTTCATAGGCATTGCCAAAGTGAAAGTTTGATGTTGTTTTTAATCTTCCTACCCTCAGTAAAAGTAGAACCGTATTGCTGTCTGAATGTTCTGCTTCCTCCACCAGATAATATAGTCCATAGTGTTTAAGCTTAACTTCCCACAACATATGAGAAAACAGAAAACATGGAAGTGTTGGGGGGCTGGGGGGTTGGGTGTGTGTTTTGGTCAAGTTCCGGAAAGATACTCATTTTCATCTGAAATTTTGCCAGTATAAAACTGCTATCAGTGACCTGGTCTTCTGAACTCTCACTAAACATTATAGGCTTGTTCTTGTTCTAGCTTCCTTCTTTAAATACTTCTCTTCCTGCAAACCTATTAGAAAGGTACCAGGCATGCAAGCCACAGCAAACATCCTACTCTGGGTAATGATTTCTGTATTAGATTTCTTCCATCATAGCAAATACCCAAGACAGCTCAACTATAAAGAGAAAAGAGGAATCTTGGCTGATAGACTTTTAGGTTTCAGGTCATTATTGATTTTCCTATTGTTTGGATCTATGGTAGACAACAGATTGTGCCAGAGTGAAGTGTGTGCTTCATAGCAAAAAAGGAGCAGAGAGTGAAACAGCGTTACATATCCACAACCTCCTCCTAAGGCACTTGCCCAATGGCCGCAGATCTCCAACCAGAGCCCATATTGTTCTACTTCCTTGAAATAGTGCAGTGCTAAAGAGAAGGCCTCCCATACTTTCACCTTTAGCAGCTGATGGTCCATCAATCCTGTAAAGAAGCAATAATACACACTTCATGATAGCCATCTTGAAGCTAAAAAAATGAAAGGAAGAGAGAGAAGACAGACAGATGGGGGAGAGGATTCTTCCCCATTCGTGTTATGAAACATTGTGCTGGTTTCAGGCTGAACCACACAGTACTCAAGAGTGTTCCTGTGATTCTCCAAATGATAATGTTCGTTCACAGCACTGAGATTATTTGTGCCAACAAGGCAGTTCTTTCTGAATAAGTGTTTTCTTTCTGGAAATCTGAAATTTTGCTAATTTTTATTTTTTTAGAATCTATATCCAGTTAAAGCCCTGGGTATTGAATTTTAAAGAGATTCAGTTTAAAGGAACAATGCTTTCATGAGGCTTCACTTCT